CTTCCACCAGGCTGTCAGGACTTTTAGAAATGTGGAATCCATTATCAGGAAGCCATTTCGTTCTGAGTGATTGATCTTGCTGGAATTTCTAATTTTATCCATCTACAAAAAGCAAGCAGAACCATCGCCACCCCGCCTGTCGCTTGAGTTACAGACAAGGGATGATAATTCTCTGATAAACTCACCTTTGACGAGAGGTCGAGATGATCGTCGGATAAAATTTTAGCTGACCGCTCTGGCTCCAACATTTTTTCCTTGAAGTGAAACAATGTGAACTGCAGAATTTTCCATATATAGACTTACCGCTTCATTTTCACTGACTTCAGTTTTGATAGGAATCACTGCTTGGTCTGAAAATATAAGATCTCTCCAATTTGAGAGTACACAAAACAAAGAGTCATTCCTCAATTCAGCGCGCAAGCAACTGTTACTGCTCATCTTATGAATAGTTAGTATGTACTAATTACGGGGTGCCGCTCATCCGCTCTCAGTGCTTGACTTGTGATGGAAGAAAAAATCGCGCCTTACTTCTCCACTAGAGAACTACGACTACCAAAAATCTCACCTTCACCTGTTGTTTCTTCTTGTGAAATTTCTTCTACATTTTCACCTGCTACTTCATCCAAAATTATCTTTCTTTTTTCTTCCTCAACGACATGATGCTCCTCTTTGTTCTCGGCGACGGTATCTACAGGCGCACTCCGAGTATCCTCTTTCGGGAGATTTTCGGACGCCTCCTTAGCTCGCCTTTTCTCCTTACCTAGATATCAGCAGTAAAGAAAGTTACAAAAAGAGAATGCCGCACCATGCTCGCGTTCCTTGCAGTACTTAACTCCAGCCATCAAAGTTTCCACTTGTTCGCACACTGACCGGGATGGTGCTACTGAGGAAACTTCTAAAAAGGACAAAAATGATAATACTAGGGAGCCAACCCAAACCATTTACCATTGAGGTCCGAACTTTGATCGCTTGCCGCTGCCCTATCGCTCTCTTGTGCGTTCTCTTCCGACTGCGGATTGTCAAGCTCAGCTTTATCTTTGCATAGCCTGCGATATGGTATGAGTTATTTGCTGGGATTTTCATT